CACCACCCACCACCCCACCCACCACCCACCACCACCCCACCCACCCACCACCACCCCACCCACCACCCCACCACACCACCACCCCACCCACCACCACCCTAGCCACCCCACCAGCCCAATCCTAACACAACATAATATATTACAAATATTACGTATCTCACTAAATATTGGTATGACGAGGGTGATACATTACACCGTCAGGGTAGAAGATGCACTGAACCTATAACATTATCTTAAGGGTTTTGTAGCCCAGACGGATTGAGAATAATATATTGTTTTATCAAGTACCGGACCACACGCATCCACAGATACACTTATACACATTGTCACGCACTCACTTATACAGTCACACACACACACACACTGTCTCTCTCTCTCTCTCTCTCTACTACTGCCGAGAGAGAGAGAGAGGTAGCTCCACCACGGTCATCACTAGGTATTTTCACCATGGACCTAATCAGTAGCTCCAGCACCTAGACAAAGGCAGGTGGAGGACTCACTCAGGCAGCGTACACACAGGTGCCCCCCCCCCTCCCCCCATCCACGACCTAGGGGGTGAAGGGGGGAGGGAGGGTTTAAACCTTACCTCTCTCTCCCATCCCTATTACGTGAGGGGTGAGGGAAAGAGGTAGACCGCCCCTTTCCCTTACCTTACTCCTCACCTCACCTCTCAAACTTTAGTTGTTTAATCAAAGCTCAGCCACCTTTGTTTGTTTTGTTTTAATTCAAAATCATTCCCACAGTATTAAAAAAAATCGTTTTACGTTTTTTTCCCGATATATTTTTACTAATTTGATTTTTTCTAATTGTCTTTTTAGTCATTAGTTACCTTCTTGTTCGTATTTTCCTTAATAGTCTTTTATGTTCGTTCTTAGTTTAAATATACTTCCTTAATCTTTATTTTTAACTTCTTAATTTATTTACTCTAGTTGTCAGCCATTAAAGAGGACACACCACTCACGCCTCCCGTTCGCTGTTTCACGCCTGGGATACCCCAAGTCGACCCAGCGGTGAATGGGTACCTAACTTTATCGTTGAGGATGTAGAGATGGTCGAGTGCAGTGCCGGCCGGTCATACTGCTGCCTCGTTGTGTACCGCGTGTGTGTGTGTGTGTGTGGCACTCGAGTAACAACCATAACGGAACAAGACTCACCACATCCGGGTTATGATGAGAACAATTTCCGCTGGAGGAGACTTTGCTACCTACCTACAGACCCTCACCCCTGATATTACAGACCCTCACCCACCACCACCCCTGATATTACAGACCCTCACCCACCACCACCCCTGATATTACAGACCCTCACCCACCACCCCTGATATTACAGACCCTACCCACCACCACCACCCTGATATTACGTCACCCACCACCACCCTGATATTACAGACCCTCACCCCACCACACCCTGATATTACAGCCTACAGACCTTCACCCCCACCACCCCACCCTCACCCAACACCACCCCTGATATTACAGACCTGATATTACAGACCACCACCACCCTGATATTACAGACCTTCACCCCACCACCCCTGATATTACAGACCTTCACCCAACACCACCCCTGATATTACAGACCCTGCACCACCACCCCTGATATTACAGACCCTTACCCACCACCACCCCTGATATCGTCAAACAACCTCATGGTGCTCCACGATCTCAGACAAAAGAGACTCACGAACCACGATGATAAACCAATACTTTCCCTCTCCTCCTCCTCCCACCCCAGGAAGCCAACACACGTGACGGAGGGCCAGGGGCAGAGCCAAGACCAGGGGCGTCCACCACACACCACTTTACCTCCACTCGATCCACCATCAACAATATTGCACTTGGGAGGCAGCCTGTGTGTTGGGGGTTGGTTCTGAACGCTTATACTCACTTCCCCCCACCCCCTTCCTCACATTGTCCGCCATTTGTCAAATTTAATGCTTTTACCGGATTTTATTTCACCATTAAAACAGATTTTTTTTGTTATGTTTTCTATGGAATTTAGTTTGACGAAGAAGAAGACAAAGTAAATTTTTTTGGGGGGGTGGTGGGGGTGGTGGGGGTGGTGGGGGTAGATTTCGGGTATCAGAGGCTTAGGAAGGAAAGGGGAGGAGGGGAATGACGGTTTCACAGTGGGATCTAATGTTATTAATGGAATTTGACTCACGTACAAGAAGGCGAATATCACGGATCGAGAGGCAGGATGGAGTGTAGGAGATGCCACAGAAATTATCGAAGGGAGTACCGGCAGGTGTTGCAAAGGGGGCGGTGTTAGTGGGTGTGACGAGGGGATGGGCGTGGCGAAGGGGATGTTAGTGGACGTGGCCGGGGGGGCGGGGGGGGTCAGTGGGCGTGGCGATGTAGCAGGCCAGGTAATGGGGTGTCCAGAGAGATTAATCCTCACCTGCTCTCCTGAATACCTGAAGCATCCACCCCCTCCTCCCTTCCTCCAGGTGCACCCCCCTCCACACCACGCCCATGCTCCTTCTCCCCCCCTCCTCCTCCCCGCCTAACCTCCTCCTAGCCCCACATTCACCTCCTCTAGCCCTCAGCCCCTCCAGTTCAACTTCGATTTCCTCTACCTCCTCCAATGCCTCTCCCTCCTCTTTCCAGCCCCACTGAAGCTTCCTGCACCTGTACACACCACCACCACAAGCGACACCCCTACCTGTTCACACCTGACACCCCGGCTGCCCATAACACGTGCACAACACCTGCACTACAGATGTCACCAGGTATATATTGACACCCTACGTCTCATTGGTGCACCATGTATAAGACCCTGGTACACACACACACACACACACACACACACACAAACACACCTTGCAGTACAGGTTAAGTGCTAGTAAAAATATATTTAAGTGAAACTCAAACTTAACATCAAAACTTTTATAAAATTACAAAATTCACTGCCAGCCACAACTAGGGGGGGAGTATACTGTACATACTGTGTGTGTGTGTGTGTGTGTGTGTGTGTCGGCTCATGTGTGTGTGAGACACACAAAGTCACATCCACTCTATCCACCCATCCATCCACCCACTGTCCTTCCTTGCTTCCGGGCCACACATACAGAGGACACTGTGTTACAGGACACATCCGCTCCAGCTTCACACAATAGACTGCCGCCACCAGCACCTGTGTGTGTGTGTGTTGGAGTCATGACTCAGCTGTCATCTGCATTCACCTACACTAAAACATCAACAAATCCCTTTAAAAGTAAGAAGAAACACACACACACACACACACACACACACACACACACACACACACACACACACACACACACACACACACGGAAGGCCTGGAGTAGTGTCAAAAGAAGCAACATGTTACTCTGCAGGGTGGGGGAGAGAGAGAGGAATAGTTCAGCCCGGCCCGCAAATCGAGTCCTCCTTAGTTAACAATACACAACAGAATGATGCACCATAAGTGTATATGAGAGGGGAGAGAGAGAGAGAAGAAATGTGTGTGTTAGGGAGTGAGATGGGGAAGGTTTCACACACACACACACACACACACACACTACACACACACACACACACACACACACACACACACACAGGATAATACCCACTCACTTCACATTTAGATTATCTTCACAACCCGCCCTCCACGCCCATTACCACCCACCCTCACGCCCCACCCCACCCTCACGCCCACCACGCCCTCCTCCACACGTAATCATAGCCTTACAGCGTCCACTCATCTCTAAAGCCGACAGCCCCAGAGTCAATAAAGATTTCCAAACAATCCTCAAGTACCATTACTGCTATCTATCAACTTTTACTCAAAACGAACTCTTACTCTCAATCCCGTATATCAGACGCACTCAAAACGAACTCTTACTCTCAGTCCCGGAATATCAAACGCCTCAAGTAAACTCTTACTCTCAATCCCGGAATATCAAACGCCTCAAAACGAACTCTTACTCTCAATCCCCGAATATCAAACGCACTTAAAACCAGACTCTTACTCTCAGTCCCAGAATATCACACAAGAAATATATACATGTTTAATATTTTTTTTCCGCTGGTTAACATAATAATCCGGATAACATAAATATTTCGGATTAGCCGGGAAGACATCCAATGATTATAATGTTCTCTATGTAACTCCGGTTATTCGTGACAAATAAACGGCAGGTTTATTTACCTCTGCTACTCACACACACACACACACACACACACACACACACGAGATAGACAGTGATGCAAGTGTGTGTGTGTCACCTGTACGTTGGCATTATTTTTTTAGCTAAATGTTTAAATTAACCAAAGAAAGGTCAGGAAAAATTAACAGTTTCCGACTAGTTCAATAATGGAGTTCCATACGAGAAAAAAAATACATTATCTTATGGTTCTTACACTGCAATGTCTAAAAAAGATGTATAATTTTCTTAATCTTTCCACAAAAATATAAAAATCGTGTAGGCCTAAAAAAATTAAAGTACAATTATACCTAAAGAAGAGTAATTAATAGCATTTGATGGTGGGTAACCTAGACCTAGCCATCATGGTGGATATTTCGACAGTGAACATGATGAAGGTGAGTAGGGATTGAGTGGTGAGGGCCCAGTGAGTGGGGAGTGGACAGTGAGAGTGTGTTGAGTGAGAATGAGTAGGTTGAGGTGGGGAGTGCGTGAGTTGGTGGTGGTGGAGTTGAGGAAGTGCGTGAGTTGAGTGGTGAGTGAGGTTGAGGTAGTGAGTTGGTGAGGTAAGTGAGTTGAGTGAGTGCGTGAGTTAGTGAGTGCGTGAGTTGGTGGTGGAGTGAGTTAATTGGTGGGTGAGTTGGTGAGTGAGGTGAGTGAGTGGAGTTGAGTGAGTGAGTTGGTGGTGAGTGAGTGAGTTGGGTGAGTGAGTGAGTTAGGGTGAGGTGGAGTTTGAGGTGGGGAGTGAGGTGAGTTGGTGAGTGCGTGAGGTTGAGTAGTGCGTGGAGTTGAGTGAGTGGTGAGTTGGAGTGAGGTTGGTGAGTGCGTGAGTTAGTGGAGTGTACTGACCGTGTAAGCCGTGGTTCTTGTTGTGGGGAATGGCCTTCCTGCAGTCCTTGGCCTCGACTTGGCCGACTTGGCCCGTTCCGACGGCTGCATGATGCCTGCATTCTGTCTCTTCTTGGCCCACTCATGCTCAGGAGTTGTCGCTACTTGGAACCTAAACTTTGTATTAAATGAGAGAGAGAGAGAGAGAGAGAGAGTCATGTGTGTGTGTGTGTGTGTGTGTGTGTGTGTGTGTGTGTGTGTGTGTGTGTGTGTGTGTGTGTGTGTAATAATAGAATAATAATTAATGGTTTACTGAGAGAAGGTAGGAGTCAAAACCTTCCCATACACTAGGGAGGAAACACGTAGTGAACAGGTATAATAATAATTAGGGTCAGGTAGTTCTCATTGCCTTAGCTGGAAAGAACTGAATGCTTAGTCCTGATGGTATATCCGGCCTCAGTCAACCTGGGAGGGAGGAGGGAGGAGGGAGGAGGGGGCTGGTTGGTAATAGCAGTGTGATATGATAACATACAAGGCGGAGGGTGCCATCAAATATGAGGCACCCGGGTCTGGTCTAACCTAACCTAACCTAACCTAACCTAACCTAACCTAACCTAACCTATTCCACTGGTTCCGGAGATTATTAAAGCTAATTTTAAAACATTTTTATGCCAGTCACTATGTAAACAAACAAATGTATATAATGAATGTAAACTTGGGAGTCATGGATACACAATGTAAACAATGAGTGAATCAGCCCCACCAATGTGTGTCACTGTGTCGCGTAACTTAGCAACCATGGTCAGATGAATGGTGAGTTTTGATTGGTTGATCGTATACCTCTGCTTCTCTGGTAAGTTTAGATTGGCTGGTTGTGTTTGGATGATAACTATAGAGGTACATGTATTGCTAAATGAAACGTGATTGGCTGAGAGTAACGCCTTATCTTGTCTGGTTAAATATGATTGGTGAAACAAGTACAGTACTCCCGCCCCCTGTGTTTGATAAGCTCTTTTCCATTGGCTGAATATAGCTGCTACGGTTTGTCTTTTACGGTATCGATTGTTCATTGGCTGTATAGATGACAAGCTGAATTCTAATTGGTTGGAGGGAATATATATAAATGACTACCCGAGTTCTAATTGGCTGTACAGAATATATATATATTACTACCTGAATTTTAATTGGCTGGAGGAATATAATTAATTTTCTACGTGGCATTTATTATTCAGGAGCATCGATACATTTTAAGTATATGACTCGCTCCCTCCCTCCCTCTCCCCTTCTCCCCCCTCCCTCCCTCCCTCTCCCCTTCTCCCCCCTCCCTCCCTCCGTCTCCCCCCTCCCTTCTCTCCCTCCCCCTCCCCTCTCTCCCCTCCCCCTCCCTCCCTCCCCTTCCCCCCTCTCTCCTTCTCCCTTCCTCTCCTTCTCATCCCTCTCCCCTTCCCCCCTCTCTCCTTCTCTCCCTCCCTCTCCCTTCCCCCTCTCCCCTTCCCCTCTCCCTTTCTCTCCCTCCCTCTCCTTCTCCCCCCTCTCCCTTCTCTCCCTCCCCCTCCTTCTCTTCCCTCCCTCCCTCCCTCTCCCCTTCCCCTCTCTCCTTCTCTCCCCTCCCTCTCCCCTTCTCCCCTTCTCTCCTCCCTCTCCCCTTCTCCCCCCCCTCCCCTTCCCCCTCTCCCTTCTCTCCCTCTCCCCCTTCCCCTCTCTTCTCCCCACCCTCTCCCCTTCTCCTTCTCTCCCTCTCTCCTTCTCCCCCTCCCCCCTCCCCTCTCAACAGCCATGAGTTATAATGGCGTTTCTTTGAACCACCGCCGCTACGTCACTCGTTACCCTCACCAACCTGGAAATGACGTGTGGGGGGGGGAGGGAGGGGGGGGGACGAGGGGGAGGAGGAGGTAGTAGGAAGAAAAAGGCATAATAATCTACCTTTACCTCACCTTTCCTCACGTCTTCCTCCTCATCAAACTCTCTCTACCTCCCCTCCTACCTGTATCTATCAGCCAATCACAAACTCACATTAACCTTATTCCGTTAACTCTACAGCCAATCATAAATTAGTAAATAACGTGTTTCCCAGCGTATCTATCAGCCAATCACAAACTCACATTAACCTTATTCCGTTAACTCTACAGCCAATCATAAATTAGTAAATAACGTGTTTCCCAGCGCTCAATACCCGTTTAAAATGTACCCCAAACATGTGTGGTAAATATTGTCTGTTTCTTTAGGGCTGCGTGTTTAATAATGTTGCTGTAAATTATGGATCAGTTATTGGCCGTTGAAAAAGTTAAGTGTATGTATATATGTATGTATGTATGTATGTATGTATGTATGTATGTATGTAACAAATTTCATCAACACGTGCCAACTGGCCGCCGAGTTATGGTGATTATATAGTTCTCTAAACATGTGACTTCGGTAATGACGGTAAGAACACAACCTTCAAGGCGCCTCAACATCCAAAAAAAAAAATTCCCACTTAACAAATTTCTTGGGAGACACGTGAGGTGGCAGATGGATGACAGTGTGAGGTGGCAGATGGATGACAGTGTGAGGTGGCAGATGGATGACAACGTGAGGTGGCAGATGGATGACAGTGTTACACCAACCACTCTATACACCTCCCTGGGCAGTGTAGCGCCCTCACCCTCTAGTGTAAACAAACATGAAACAGGATACAGATAAAATAGAAAGTGATTGCTTCCTGGATAACAGAAAAAAGCCAAGTTTCTAGTTGACTTGCAATTCCAACTACGCGTTCCCTCCCTCCCTCCTTCCCCCTCCCTCTACTACTTCCATCCCATTCAGCTTGTTGGCTCCTGGCTTTTACATAAATTGGAAAACGAATGGAAATCGGCGGAACATGGAGCAAACATTACCGTATTGTACTTTATCTATAACACAAACTTCAAACACCGTCCTCAGTTAGAGATGGTCTGAGAGGTAACTTACACAGGAGTGGAAAAATACATAATCCTTTTACATCATTATAGAGGCTGTTTAGGTATGCTTATCCGTGTGATTGTTTGACTGCGTGACTCTCATTATAAACATCTTCTTACTGTGAGTGTTTGTATGTTGTAGTGGATGAATTTTAACTGTAGGGTAAACAATGGAGTGGTGGACGGGAGAGGAGAGGGGGGGCGGGGTATACCAGGTCTTCGTCAGGGTTTTGATCGCGGTTATTAGAAAGGGTAAATAACTACGAAAAACAATGGAAAATCCAAACCAGACTCCCGAAATTCACAGTGATACCCTTATGCAGAAGGAAAACCCATCCATTAGTAACCATTAATGCCCAGATAGAATACAAAAGCAGAGGCACCCTCCTGGGCCTGCATATATCCATGACAGGTTACTCCCATCATGTCCACACCAGGAAGGAAAAGGCAAAAAGAGAACTGAGAAAACTATACCGCTTTAAAGCGCTTCCTGAGAAAATAAAACTCCGCCTGGTGACATCACTTTTCACACCGATATTAACTTACCCAGCAATACCTCTTCATACTATGAGCACCACTCAAATATTAAAATTACAGGTGGTCCAAAATGAAGCCCTAAGATTCGTCACAGGTGAAAGATACCCCTTCACCAGAACCACAGCCGAGATACATAGAGACCTGAGAATGAAACCCATCAACCAGCAGCTGCACACCCTGGCCAGCAGAATCTGGCAAAAGATAGAACGATCAGAGCAAGAACTCCTTCAAAGACTCCCACCAGATAACGACAACAACCATACATGGTTCCCAAAAAGCTACGAAATCTCAAAAGGTCCATTACCACCCCCGATCTACACGGCCAGGCAATAGACAACCTCCCTAGACCAGCATCCGCCAGTAGGGTCGGCGGAATATGAAATAAGGCCCTTAAAACACCCATAAATGGGACAGGGTAGGCTGTCTAGTGCCTGTACTGGCAGACAATAACTAACCCATGACACAACCCAAAACCACCATTAGCTTAGCTAGGCGGTCAGCCCGCCCTCTCTTACCTCCTCCTGAATTTCTTCAATTTCCGAACTATAACTTCCTTCCCCCACCTCTAATCTTCTTTCAATCCTCCTTTCCCTACAAAAAAAAATTACGTTTTTAGCGCCACCAGGTTAGGTCTACACACACACACACACACACACACACACACACACACCAATGCCGCACATGATAACACGGTAACTATGGCAAGATCCACAACTGCAGCACCACCACGAAATATTAACCAATCAGTGTACAGTTATGGATGCCAACCTACGTCATGATGGGTAAATGAACCAATCAGGTAAAGTCATGCCCAGAAACGCGTGGATTTTACTTATTTTGTGTTTTGTTTTGTTTTAACGAACCGATCTGCCTGTCTCCTTCCCTCTGGTCGAGAACTCAAGACATTATTTGTACTATTTTGGTCTATTGTGATTCTTATGGTTCCCTTCCATCTCTTCCTTCAGGTTTCTCTCCTTCCCTCCCACCTCACCTTCTTCCCTCTCACCTCACCCTCTTCCCTCCCACCTCACCCTCTTCCCTCTCACCTCACCCTCTTCCCTCTCACCTCACCCCTTCCCTCCCACCTCACCCTCTTCCCTCCCACCTCACCCTCTTCCCTCCCACCTCACCCTCTTCCCTCTCACCTCACCCTCTTCCCTCTCACCTCACCCCTTCCCTCCCACCTCACCCTCTTCCCTCCCACCTCACCTCTCCTCCCTCACCCCACCTCTCCTCTCTCACTCACCCTCTCACCCTCTCACCTCACCTCTCCCTCCCACCTCACCCTCTTCCTCTCTCCATCCCTCTTCCCTCTCCACCTCTTCCTTCACCTCATTCTCTCCTCTCACCTCACCCTCTTCCCTCCCCGACGGACTCACTGAAACTAATCCCACACACAAAGGAAGAACTTGTTCGGTATCCGCAGAGTAAAAGAAAGGAGGCTGGGTGAGGTCTTCTCGGGAGGACGGAGGTCTGGGTCTACAGTATCAGGAGGAGGATGAGGAGGGAGAGGAGGAGGAAGAGGAAGAGGAGGAGGAAGAGGAAGAGGAGGAGGAAGAGGGAGAGGAGGAGGGAGAGGAGGAGGAAGAAGAGAAGGAAACGTTTATCATTTTTATTTGGATATTTACTGTATCATCACTGTTATTATTATAGGTCAGGTCAGGTCAGGTCAGGTCAGGTCAACATGAGTTTTTATACACGATTAAGAAAAAATATGGATTCCCAGGTACTGTACGACAGGTGAGCAGCGGGAGAGATTCTAGCTGACGTCACGACAGAAGAGGCCCAATCAGAGCGCGTCGTGCCCTAATACCTGTGGAATCTGTGGGAGTCCTTGGGTGGAGAGCGGGGTCAAGGCGGGGGCTCTGAGGATCACAGTTCAAAGTCGACTTAAAGCTTATCAGAAGTCCTGTGGCCCTCTCCTTCCTTCCTTCTTTCCTTCCTTGTTCCTTATTTTGTCCATTCCTTTTTTCTCCCTTCATTCCATCCTTCCTTCCTTACTTCTTTCCTTCCTTTTTCTTCATTCTTTTCTTCCTTCTTTCTATCCTTCCTTTCTTCCTCCTTTTCTTTCATCCACCCTCCCTGAGTGTGGGTGAGTGAACACAACACCCGCCTCTTGTTATGGTAGCCACAGGTTCACTCTTCACCCCTCCCCTCACCCGCCTTAATCCTTTTAGCTGAGAATAGGTATACCGAACATTGCAGATGGGGAAATGAAAACAATCCAGTGCAGTGTCGGCATTACTGTCAACTTCACGGTATCTACACTTCCCCTAATGAGACATCGGGACTATGAAACACGTAATCCAAATCTTCAGTGTGAATTCAGACATCCAGAGTATTTCTTTCCTAGCGAAGTAAAAAAGAAAATCTATGTGAAAGAAGAAAGATAGAACGAAAGAGGCGGGTCGTTAGTACAGTACTCCTCCACAATATCACATGTCAGGAGTCTGTTTCAGGAGTACCACGCCACTAGCTTACCTGTGCTATCACCTGTGTGCTCTAACCTGGCTCTCTCTCCTACACCACAACCCTGGGCCGTCACACAATCTACCACCACCCCCCCCGCCACCCCTGGCTCTTATTCCAAAAACTTTAATAAATATATGTAATAAAATAAATCTAACGTAACTATTCACGCAAAAGATAATATAACAAAACAACAACAACGACAACAACAACGACGACAACAACAACAACAACAACAACAACAACAACAACAACAACGACAACAACAACAACAACAACAACAACAACAACACCACCCACAACGCCAAATTTCCACTCAGCGGAAGGAAAGCGACAGCATACCTTGTACTGAGAGACCAACCAAAAGGTAATCAGATCCCACACACGCGAAACAACAGACAATCTGAACCTAAAAAAAACAAAAACGTAAAACAAAAAAAAAAGAGTAACAGAGGCATTCTTGTGTAGTTTCACTTCTCTCTCCCTGACGACCAAATTGTTTGGTATATACGACACTCACTCTTCAATATCCGGATTCCGGGGGACATCAAACGTGACAACTTTTCCTCCTGTCCAGTGTGATTGTCAGGGTTACCGGTACAAAGGTGTGTTGATTAGGGTTACCGGTACAAAGGGATGTGTCGATTAGGGTTACCGGTACAAAGGGATGTGTTGATTAGGGTTACCGGTACAAAGGGATGTGTTGATTAGGGTTACCGGTACAAAGGGATGTGTTGATTAGGGTTACCGGTACAAAGGGATGTGTTGATTAGGGTTACCGGTACAAAGGTGTGTTGATTAGGGTTACCGGTACAAAGGATTTTAATCAAGACTTACCGGTAAAGTTCCAATTTTCTCAAACAGTCAGTATGTTAACCTGTTTTTAGTCTAATTATTACCTCTTCACAAATGTCTACCTGTGTTGATTAGGGTTACCGGTACAAAGTTGGGTCAAGGGATGTGTTGATTAGGGTTACCGGTACAAAGGGATGTGTTGATTAGGGTTACCGGTACAAAGGTGTGTTGATTAGGGTTACCGGTACAAAGGATTTTAATCAAGACTTACCGGTAAAGTTCCAATTTTCTCAAACAGTCAGTATGTTAACCTGTTTTTAGTCTAATTAACCTCTTCACAAATGTCTACCTGCAGTTGGGTCAAGGTTAACACACTCCCTCATCCATTTTACGACCTGCATTATGCGTTACCGTGACAATAATGCATTTCGGTACATATTCAGCTTCTACCGTGACTGTTTCGGTCTGCTTAAAGCGTATACGTGGCGTGTGGTGTTGGGGAGGGGGGAGGGTGAGGGGTAAACATACTAAACATGACACACACACACACACACACACACACACACACACACACACGCAGCACCTGAGTATAATCAATATATTTATTATTATCATCATTAGTTATATTGAAATCGATCTGTCTGTGTGTGTGTGTGTGTGTGTGTGTCAGTCAGAGAGAGAGAGAGAGAGAGAGAGAGAGAGAGAGAGCCTGGCGTCTACCTGTGCTCTTTTAACAGGTAACTTGGCTATGGCGACTTACATTACTTATAAAGACTATTGCTGTTATTATATGAATCTACAAATAGTCTTTTTTTTTCTTAAATTTGAGTAAAAAACGGTCCTAAATTTTTATCATGTCTTTTTTTTTTGTCCCGTCTAATATAAATTGAGAAAGGGTTTATCTTTTTATCAGAATTTATAAAAAGATTCAATATTTCTGTTCGTTTGTTTGTATGACATAATTTACACACACACGAAAACAAAAACAAAAAAAACAGCCTCTTATGTACGATATTTCACTTGTGTTTTTTATTTAATTTTGTTTAATTTTTCCGGGTTAAGTGTTGGTTCTTGTGTTTGAATTCGTAGTTTGAACAATGTTTATCGTCGTATTATACTCCCTTCTCCTATTTACACCGTCCATTATTAATACCTTTACTCTGGGATCACCCTGGAGAGCGCTGGGCAAAATATTTATGACCCAGCAGCCAAGTAGTAACCCCCAGACCCTGTGAGTAGAGAGCGCCCGTCAGCCACCCTGTTACTGGTTAGGGGAGGGGGAGGGGGGAGGGGGGAGGGGGGAGGGCGTTTCAAATGGGATCCCGGTTTTATAGGCCCTATAACTTAACTTAATCTCCACCATTAAAAACTAGGGCCCATTAAGACTGTATCCCAAAATCCTAATGGTGTGGTTAAGTTAGGTTGGGGGATCCATTAGCACTAGATGGTATGAAAAGTGAGTCACACACACATATACGAAATGAACCCTTAATTCTAATGGTTCACCTTGCATAGTTTTGGAGCCTATTAGGACTGGCGGCCCATCTGACCATTCACCACCTATACCCTCGCCTCGGTGGTGGTTGTTAACTTATATTATCAAGGCCGGACCATGTTGTAATTATGTTGACCGAACCATCATACACCTCGTTTACCTGCCCACTGTGTCAACAAGGCCATTAATTGATAAAGGCTCTATAGCGCTCATTAGTCTCCTCCAACACACACACACACACAAGAGACGTGGTCGAGTAAAGCTTTAAAGAACAATGAAATATTCAACACTAAACTGGTTACCACAATGGCGGGGACTTTGGCTAGATTACCGCCTCAACCTACACACCTACACCCCACGACTAACACACAGATTTACACCTATTCTACACCTTTACATACACCATTTGATCTATCCCTACGAATTAGATTTCAATATATAATCAAATATCAATCACCATAATTGAATCACCAAGGCAAAGGTTGATTAACGCTCTTCAATAATTCCTTTAGGTAGTTGGTCTGTGATTTATACATGAGGAAAAAAATCACCCCACGTGTTCATAAATATTATAAATAAATTACCCTCACGCAGCACACCGCCACGACCATGTGAGGAGTTGCCAAGACCTCGTGTTGAGTTACAGTGAAACTTCTATTAAACGGACGATTATGAGAGGACATTCCGTTATATCGAGGGTTCGTTATATAGAGGTTTCACATTAACGGAACCTCCATTTAACGGATGTCACTCAAGGGTATAGTCCATTATATAGAGGTTCCCATCTAACGGACCTCGATATAATGGACTGTACTATCCATTATATTATTTTATATGGAGGTTTAACAGACAATGAACCTCGATATAATGGACTACATTCTCCCTCAGCGTTCACTTTATGACGAAATGTTCTCTCGTGGTTAGGTTAGGTTAGGTTAGGTTAGGTTAGGTTGGGAAAATGTACGAGCAATTTGGAATAAATCTTGAAGGTTAGCAGCGTCGTGGGGGGCCCAAAATTTGTTCATCGAGTTCCGAATAAATCCCTGTGGGGCCCCGAGATGTTCTAAAGAGTTCCGAATAAATCCTTTAGGAATAAAGTGCTTCCTACATGTTCATCTCAAATCCTTAAGGTGCGCGACACGACAGGAGGGAGAATGTGTGTGTGTTCTACGTCGAAGGGGGAGGCGACGAAGGCGAAGGACATACTGTACCTGTTTCAAGAGGTTCTGTTGAGGGAGAAGAGTGTGTGTGTGTGTGTGTGTGTGAGGGGACAGGTGAGGACAGGTGAGGACAGGTGAAGTAAATGAACCTACCTGCTTACGGAGTTTCTGTTGTCTCAGGTTCGCCTCCTCGTCCACAGAGCCTGGGATACCCGCCGGGCCGCTGTTACCACTAGACGTCCACCCTGACATGTTTTTGCTGCCGGAGGAAGGAAGAGGGGACACCATCTTCATTAGTACAACTCATACTTACTCATACAACTCATACTAGTTACTCACAACACTACTCACCCATCTCACATTAAGTATACTCACAAAACCTGAGGCATTGAGTACATACAGTTAATAAATATCCAGGAATAACAAGGAACACGATAAATATTAAGGAACAGCAGGAACATAAAAAAATATATATCCAGGGATAGTAACACAATATTTATCAAGGAACAGCAAAGTAACACGATAAATATCAAGGAACCGCAGGAACATAAAAAATAAATATCAAGGAACAACAAGGAACACAATATTTATCAAGGAACAGCAAGTAACACATAAAATAATAGGCACAGCACGATAAGCAACCAATTAAAACTGAAAGCAAAGAGCCGAAAATAAGCAAGATGTGTGTGTGTGTGTGTGTGTGTGTGTGTGTGTGTGTGTGTAAGTAGTTAACATAAGCATAAGTTTCAGGGTCAATGTCATCATATATTCAGGGTCTCTCCCAGGTCCAGCGGTGGGCGGATCAGGGGCAGTTGTGATTTTAGGGGGGAGATCTGGATTAGTCTTCAGGGCTTCAGAGTTTCATGACTTTAGGGTTTCAGGGTTTCGAGGTTTCAGGGCTTCAGTGTTTCAGTGTTTCAGGGTTTCACGGTCTCAGGATCTCAGGGTTTCAGGGCTTCAGTGTTTCAGTGTTTCACGGTCTCAGGGTCTCAGGGTTTCAGGGTTTCAGTGTTTCAGTGTTTCACGGTCTCAGGGTCTCAGGGTTTCAGGGCTTCAGTGTTTCAGTGTTTCAGGGTCTCAGGGATTCAGTGTTTCAGTGCGTCTTCAGGGTTCCAATAAGTGATAGATTCCTGAATTTGTGGATATCATTTTACCGGGGGTTAGTGTTAAATGGTGTTTATACTGTGAATCCCAACCACTATCACCACTACTACCACCATCGCTGTGATCACCCCGACCACTACCATCACTACCACCATCTCTGTGATCACCCCGACCACCACCATCACTACCACCATCTCTGTGATCACCCGACCACCACCATCACACCACCACCTCCCACAACCAATATTTAAACGCCAGGAGTAAATGTTTGCGCAGTTTGGATCCAGTCAAATGTAAGAGGAAGCTCGAGCGAAATTACGCCTGCAGAGATCCATACGGCGGCGGCGCTGAAGGCAGGAGGGCGTCCTACATGTTGGGAGGGGGGAGGTAGTCGTCAGGAAACACCACTATCACCACCAATAATATCACCATCTAAACCACCACCTCCATATCATCACCACCAACACCACCACTACCACCATGCCTTTGTGTGTGTGTGTGAAGAAAGAGCCGGTATATAATCACACTGTCACGTGTTTGTGGGCGTCTACATCATTTCTCCCTGGGCAGTGTGTACACGGCGGAACGACTACAGGTGTACATGAGTGAACAGTAAAGGTTCAATATTGTACACAGGACATTGCAGACACCCAGGCTAACCCAGCACATACACACACACACACACACACACACACACACACACACACACACACACACACACACACACACACACACACACACACACACACACACACACACAACAACAGCCCCCCCAGCAAGTTGTTATTTCTCTCAGCTCCTCATGACGCTACAAGGGCTGGGGGAGGGGGTTACATTCCGTGCCTAGCCGTAATTTGTTCTGGGTCATCTATCCATTCTCATCACCCCCTTTCATTCTTAATTCCCATTCTTCTACCCCATCCTCATTCATTCCCCCAATGTTCCATCATCATCATCATCATCATTATCATCATCATCAACATCATCCCAAACTTCCTACACTCCATCATCCTTATACTTCATCATCATACCTTTTCACTATCAATGTCTCCTTCCCATCCCTCACCCCAATATTCCACACTCCATATTACCCCCCTAATGTTCTCCCCTTTCCAATCACCCCAAATGTACCCCAATTACCCTTAATCTGCCCCTCCACCAGGTTAGTTCACGGTGACGACAGATAGGGACTCAGGTGGGGGGGGGTGGCACCATTCGGAAGGTTGTGTAAATATAGCAGCTGAGACAGGCCAAGGCTACAGCCAGTCGATCAATGGTCGCACAGAGATACAGTAACTACCCATCACCCGTAACGATTCCTCCTTCACTCCGCTGCCGCCCTGGCCATCGTAACTATGTATCTACTTGTTAAGGAATGTGGCGGGAACCTTGGAATAAAACAGAAGTTATTTAAAGACAAGAGACTGTCATAATGGTGGGGAGTAATGCGGGAAGTAGCCACCAGTGGGTCGACCTTGGCGACGCCCACCGTCCTGGTCAATACGACCGTCCTACCCGAGTCCAGGCAGGTAAACACGTGTTGGACCAGCCTGGACACTACTAATATCCACCATTTATGTCGGAGACGTACGTAGCGTCAACAGCGAGGTGCATGACGATGGCGAGGCGTCACACAACACCTAAAATGAGTGTTTTGTGTAACACTACACAGGAACACCCACGTGTCTCACACCAACACACAACACTCATACATACAGAGAGAAAACAACTTTATCGAAATAACATCAATTCACACATAACTACCGCGTATCTTATGACTTATCGCTAACTAACACAATAGTATATCGTCACTGGTTCCTCAATAAATTCTAACATGAGACTTGGGCCGACCAACACGTGCCACCAAGCTTTAGCCTAGAAATTAAATATGAAAAACAAAAATCTACATAATTTTCATTTTAAAACTGAAGCAAGACCGGCGTGTGGGTGTGTTAGTGGAACGTTGCCATGTGTTTCACCTTACCCGATTGGCTCACCTGGGTCACGGTAATGAAATTAGTGCCGGTATTACCTGGACTGCTCTAGGCGCCATACTCAACAGACTTTACTCTTTCCCAGCTGTATAAACGCCGCCCATTAGTTCCTCTTCCTCCTCTTCATCTTCTTCCTCCCCTTCCTCTTCCTCCTCTTCATCTTCTTCCTCCCCTTCATCTTCCTCCTCTTCATCTTCCTCCTCCCCTTCTTCCTCCTCCTCTTCATCTTCCTGCCTCCCTATATGATGACCCAACCCTAAGTATCCTTTACCACTAATCCATCCATAAAGAACACACACACACACACACACACACACACACACACACACACACACACACACACACACACACACACACACACACCTCCCTTCCTGAGACAGTCCCTCCCCCTACGTCTTCGCCTCATTTCGTGTTTATTAACGTATTCCAGTAATAATGTCATGTCTCTTCAACGCTATTTACTCCATTCACATAAATACGTACTTGAATGTTTGATTTTGTTGTTTTCGTTATTTAGATATTTATTGACTTTAGTAGAGGACTTACTGTATATATAACAATAGTCTACTAAAAAGAAGCCACATTAAGCTTTATCTTCATTCCTAGTTCATTATAATTACACCTCTTTCTTCCTTCCTTCCTTCCTTCCTTCTCAGTTCATTACAATTACTCCTCTCCCTTCTTTCCTTCTCTTATGTTGTGTATTCATTTTATAATCCTAAAAGGAACACATCTCCCCCTTGTCATCATCATCATCACCATCATCATCATCATCATCATCTCTCTCTCTCCTTCTTAGCCTGGTCATTCATACATCCCATTAAGATACGACTCTCATTATCCACATCCAACTTAATGATGTCTTGAGCCCATTTAATTTTACCCATATCCCATCTGCTAACACCGCTGCCCCTTCCCTTACACCCTCACCCCTTCCCTTACACCCTCACCCTTTCCCTACACCCTCACCCTTTCCCCACACCCTCACTCTTTCCCCACACCCTCACCCTTCCCCACACCCTCACCCCTTCCCTACACCCTCACCCTTTCCCTACACCTCACCCCTTCCCCCACCCTCACCCCTTCCCCACACCCTCACCCCTTCCCCACCCTCACCCCTTCACAACCTCCCCACCCCTTACACCCTCCCACCCCTTCCCCTACACCCTACCCCTTCCCCACCTCACCCCCCTACACCCTCACCCCTTCCCTTACCCTCACCTTCCCCTACCCCTCCCCCCCTACAACCTCACCCCTTGCCACTGTTGTTGTCTTTATAAACCTTGTGCACTTAAGTCTCCACTCACCATTAAACTCATTCTATCTACCTGTACAGACAAAATATTCCTAGATTAAAACAAAAAATAAAACAAAAAATATATTAATTTATTTCATTCCCTTTTTGTGGGGGGGAGGGAGGGAGGGGGGGGCTAAACTTCACGTGACTGCATCGATGGGAAGAGAGCTGTTCCGCCCCAGACCAGAGCTACAGATAAGGTCGGGGCTCAGGGACTCAACACACACCAAGTAAACTACAGGAATTATACTCCCAACTTCTTGCTTCTCCCATGATATGAATAAGTAATTTGGACAAACGTTTATTCAACCTTTTTTTTTATTAAACAAGTTTGCTTGGTGTGTCGTTCATATATACACCCAATAGACTTTTGCTTGCTTGAATAAACGCAGCTAACTGTGCCCGGCTGACCTGGAGTTCACGTCGAAAGATTTATTTTTTTATTCATACACAAGAACAAAAACTTAACTCCTCGCCAGGAAGCAGCAACAAGTTTATTACTCTTAAGATAAGACTCAGAGGAGGAGAATGAACTAGTGCAGAAGACCTTGTGTTGATCATCAAAAATAAATAACAAAAATATTACTAACAAAAGTCCCAATACTTTAAAGTTATGGGAAAAATTACCAATCACAAGAGTATATTAATTCTATCGTAAATATAATCACAATAAATGGTAATATGGTCCACAGGTGATGGGGGTTTACCAAGAGGTGTAGACAGGTAAATGGGGGCTTATTAACAGGTGTAGCACAGGTGAGTCATGGGAGACACACCTATAATGAGTCATGGAAGACACACCTGTTATGAGTCATGGAAGACACACCTGTTATGAGTCATGGAAGACACACCTGTTATGAGTCATGGAAGACACACCTGTTATGAGTCATGGAAGACACACCTGTTATGAATCATGGAAGACACACCTGTTATGAGTCATGGAAGACACACCTGTTATGAGTCATGGGAGACACACCTGTTATGAGTCATGGAAGACACACCTGTTATGAGTCATGGGAGACACACCTGTACCGTGATTAAAATGTGCACCAGTTCAACACAATTTATGAACTAAACACTTTGGCCAACACAAAAATGGTAACTCGTCAATAGAACACAATAAAGTTTTTCGTCAATACACGATAAAAAAAAACATATAATCACAAAAAAAAAGAAATTGGCCAATACATAAAAAAAAATAACTTTCGCTCAAAAAAACACAAAAACACGACATTTGATCAATATAAAAGAAGAAAAACTTAGTCAACACACACACACACACACACACACACACACACACACACACACACACACACACACACACACACACGCACACACACACACACACACACACACACACACACACACACACACACACACAAAAACATCCTGTTTTGAAGAAAAGGAAAAAACAAATTGAATAGAAGAGAAAAAAAAAAAGGGTGTGTTTATTAGGAAACGAAAACTGATTGAAGAGAGTGTGGATTATAGGGAAGGAGGGGGGGAGGAGAGAGTGGAGGAGAGAGAGAGGGGAAGTACAAATCTGGGTTTAATAGGGAAAAAATAGGGGAGACATATAGACAATGGAGAGGGACGTGAGGTGTAGGAAGAAAATGAGGGGAAAAAGGGAGGGAGGGAGAGAGGGAGATGAAAGGTAGGCAGGAGAAGAGAAAAAAGAGGGAGGGAGGAAGGAAGGAAGAGGAGGAGAGAGGGAGAACTAGAGGGAAGAGACCAGGAATTGAGAGGTGAAAGAGGGATGAAAGTAGCCAGGAAAAGAGAGGGAGACATGAAAAGGGTGAGAGGGAAGGAAGAGGGAGGGAGGGAGAGAAAAAGAAGGGGGAAAGAGGATTACCTGGAAAATATACCAAGAGTGGAACACACACACACGCGCGCGCGCGAGAGAGAGAGAGAGAGAGAGAGAGAGAGAGAGAGAGAGAGAGATGGAAGGAGAAAAGAAGGGAATGGAAAAGAAAACGAAAGAGAGAGATGGGAAGATACAAACGGTGTGTGTGTGTGTGTGTGTGTGTGACAGTGAAGGGGCGAGGGGTGGTTAGGGAATTAGCGTGTAGATTGGACTCTTGTATCAGGCATGAAGGGGAAGGAGTGACGAGTACGGTGACCTCCCCTTCAGTGTGGGAATAAGACCCAGTTGAGGGGAAAGACACTATCCTGAAGAAGGGAGGAGGGTGGCTGGCTGGCCTATCACAGAAGAGAGAATTGAATATGGCCAGAGTGTAAAAGATCGCGTCATGCAGTTGGCCAAGGACATCATGAGACACTTTGGGCTTGACACAGAGAGTAAGACAGTGGGCGTTGATTATGGTGTACTGATGGAGGGTGGAGGATAGTTAAGGATCAAGGTGACGGAGGTCGTGTGTGTGGAGGAGAAGAAAGATTATCAAGAAAGCACGAACAGATTCCCGGAAAACCCTCAGTGCTGATGGAAAAATAATCTCTTGGATTTGGTAACCGCTGCACGGAACACGGAGCTCCGACAGAGAGAAAGGAAATAGAGAGAGAAGTGGGCAGAGAACACGAAGGAAAAAAATTAATACGGTAAGATAAGACTTTCAAAACACTCGCTGAAGCTTCAGTTGAGAAACAAGATCACGTTATGACTGAGAAATATTTACGAGACAAAGGCCAAGAAACACCACCAAAAAAAACGTAAAATCACTGAGAGTTTGCAAGAAAAAACAAAATTAAATAAACCAGATCTCAAGAATAAAGGTGACCAAGAACATGGGTCTAAATTAACCACCAGGTGAGCTATAAAGATGACCTTAACCTGAGGAGGACCCACCTGCAGGTATCCATCAAAGACACAGAGAAAACAAACAACAATATCGAAGGACCAGACCCACCAGGAGGGAGTAGATTGGTGGGGGAGGGGGGAAGGGGGGGGAAGGGGGGAAGGGGGGAAGGGGGGGGAAGGGGGGGGAGGCAGTTCTGGGGGATATTTTTATGTGACTATGGGGACGGAAGCCAGCGAGGAGGACGGAGGCTTTAGGAACCCAAATCCCGAGGAGCAGAAAAATAACACGGGGTACATGAGTTGGGGATTGTTGGGATGAAGCTGTGGGAAGGGCGATTGCCTGTGGATGGACGCTCTCCTCCTCTCACCCCCCTCATTCCCCACCCTCCCCACCCACACACATACAGACCAGTAAATTCCGTCTTCTATGTACAGTAGAAATGTGGTTAGACCTGGGCGTGGAGAGACAGACACACACACAATGAGAAACACTTGGGGGGGTATGTAGAGAGAGATAATGAATGTTATTATAAATCAAAGTAATTGTATTATATGTGAAGGTAATTACGTTACTATGACAGGTGTACCACAGGTGAAGGAGGATATGTAATGAATGACAGGTAAATAGGTTCACAATAACAGTTATACTACAGGCATCAGTGGATATATAACATTAACTATCATAAGTAACAGAGATTATCCTAAAATACCAGCAATAACACCCAAGCAGGATGATAATAATAATAATAATAATAATAATAATAATAATAATAATAATAATAATAATAATAATAATAATAATAATAATAATAATAATAATAATAATAATAATAATACAAAGAACAACAGAATACTATAAGATATACAACAAGCCACAACAGGTAGACGACGATAGCAGCAGTATATAAACTACAGAGAGAGTTATACTACAAGCAACAACTACAGAGAGAGAGTTATACTACAAGCAACAACTACAGAGAGAGTTATACTACAGAACAAAAGTATAGAGATCAAATACAGAGCAGGTGACAATAAGGCTATGCTATAATGACAAGTGCCCCACGGGGAACAACAGCGGGTATATTTACAATGACAGATGAACGTCAGGTGAAGATGGGGTATTAATGACTGGGTATGCTACAATGACAGCTGTAGTAGAAGCAACAATTGGGAGATACAACAATAACAAACATACAGGTATATTACAAGCACAATTAATCATTCAATAAAGACAGATATACCACAGAATGATGAACGTGGATATAAGCTATTGACAACAGGTGTATATCACAGGTGTCAACAAGTGCACTACAGATACTAAATACAAAACGTGCAAAAGACTTCCTCTCAATAAATATATCTACCTGTTTTTATTATTATACGACCAAGACACCTCTGTTTCACTCATTTTGACAGCCGTCTTGACACACACACACTAGACGGTCAACTCTTATGAACTAGTATAGGACGGGCTGTGCTGGGTACGTTTGTGTGTAAGGCCGCTGTAAGTGCTGGGACGGCAATAGGGTTCTTGAGATGACTCCTGTGTTAAGGCCGCTGAGGGAGGACCATCACCTCTGTTGTGTCTGCCAACCTGTAGTGTGATATGACAAGTGAGATGAGCCAAGGTGCAAGTGGTGATATACGCTATTGAACACCATTTAAGTTGCTACTATACACTTAAATATAACACCAGGTGAAATACTATAATACTAATGCCACATATATTAAACCCTCTCAATAACGGACCGTTCAGTAAAGTTATGGATATAGAAAACCCTCTTAATAACAGACTTCTCATTAATGGATATTCTCATTAACAGAATCCTCCCAAAATATTAAAATTGTTCTTTACATCAATAAAGAGACAAACATTATATAGTACACACACACACACACACACACACACACACACACACACACACACACACACACACACACACACACACACACACACACACACACACACACACACACACACACTGGTAACCCCAAACACTGACGAGTAAATAGACTTACAGTGGAAGAGAAACGTCCACAGAAGCAAAAAAAAAATTAGGTGAGATCTTTAATCCTGAGGTCAGTATAGCTGATTCCCCTTCCCTTCCTTTCTCTCCTCCCTCCTACCCCCTGCCCTCCTACCCTCCCCCTCCCCTCCCCACAGAGCAGCATGAATAATAGAAGTGGTCAGCAACACCACACCAGACTGGCCGCCTACATCATAGCTCTACCCCGCCTCTCTGTCACCACCCACTCACTCACCACTCATATATACAGTAAAAACATTTTTACAAATCATCAATACCTCCACTAACTTAACATGTGTGTGTGTGTATGTGTGTGTGTGATTTCTTTCAACACCACAAATTGATTTTTTTTAGTTTAATTGTGCGACAGGTGCAGCTTACACCCCCTCCCTCCCTACCTGCCTGCCTTCCCAAACCAATTCCGTCCTGTCCTAACCTAACCTAACCTAACCTAACCTAACCTAACCCATACCCTCCTAATCTAAGCCAAAGCAAATAATTTCCCCTTGACGCACACATAGAAACACAGGGATCAAGAGAACACGTTTTCCTTCCTTCCTTCCTTCCTTCCCATCCCTCCTTCCTTCCTTCCTTCCTTCCTCTCCCCCTTCCTTCCTACCTGTTAACATACACTTGCACATGTCTAGATGACCCGCGTAGCCATACCATTAAAAGTTTCGATTCACAGTTTAGTCAATTACTGTGAGGAGGACCTGATGGTGGGCTAACTCACTCAACAGTCGATATGGAATGCTAACCCCCTCCCCTATTACCCCCCCTCCTTCCTTCCTCCTTCTCCCCCAAACATCAGTGTAGTTCTCATCCCCTTAGAGTTCTATTCTCCCTAGGCCTCCCTTTCCACTAAGCTCCTTTCCCCTTAAAGTCCCTTGTCCAAAAAAGGTGAAAGCTCACTACCCTAACCCCACCCCCACCCATTCCCTAAAAGAACTCCCACCCTTAAACGCTCCCTTCCCTTTAAACTTCCTTCCCTCCTTAACCCCCCCTCACCCCCTTTCCTCCCCATCCCCGATAACATTTAAGTATCGTGTCGGCATCCGGCTGTACCGTATCTATACTCCCATCTCTCCGGGCAATAAATTCATTCCTGAAAGCGAAAGGTCGACCAACAGAGGACAGGAACCTTATTCTCTCCTTCTCCACCTGGCGGAGACCCAAACTCACTTGATTGATGTTAAGTGAATGTAACAGTCTAGGTGTGAATCTTATTAATTATGATGTTATATTTGGGATTTTATTTGATTTCTTATTTTTCGACTTCTTTAGCTAAACACACACACACACACACACACACACACACACACACACACACACGCACACGCACACACACACACACACACCACACACACACAACAAAAGGTCAGGTGAAGGGAGGTATTCGAGCAGCTCCTCACGTAGTAGGTATGGGCCGTTTGGGCGGGCGTGAGTCTCTGTAGTCTTGGCTCCCAGCTGGTGTGCACACACACACACACACACACACACACCTGAATGCCACTCACCTGCTTGATCACGCACACGTCACCTCCCCCACTGTGTTTAAATTCCACTGTAACAACGCCTCAGTGTCATAACAATCCACACTGTCTACGAGCATAATCCACACCGTCTACGAACATAATCCACACCGTCTACGAGCATAATCCACACAGTCTCCGATATATCCACCTAAAAGGCATATTTGGTGCTGAGGTCTCCGTTCTTCTCTCCGTGTTGCTTATCGTGTGACGGTATGGCTACGAGCGACACGTGATGAAGTATGTATCAGGAACTCCGGGAAGGCCAGGGCGTGGTGCCAGTTACCACGATACTGAAGGGGTGAGGAGGGTCCGTCTGCCTGCCTGGCTAGCTGACTGACTGCCTGGCTCCCTCCCTCCCTGCTGCTTAGCTTGGCCTGACCCACCGACCGTCCACACACACACACACACACACACGTAGTCACCTTAATGGATCGAATTTATTGATTACCCGAACATGATATATCCCTTGGGGCTCACACGCCACCACTAGCACCACTCCTCCTTCTGTATACACCATTACTAACACCGTAACACTATACTAGCACCAAGAGCATTATTATAATAGCGTCACCCTCATTTTCACAATCGGTGTAGCACCCCTTCTCTCCCCCTACACCTGCACCTGTTATCTTCACCATCAGCTCCGTCATATTTATAATTATCACTACCATCACCATCACCAACACTATTATCACTGTCATCTCCAACACCACCACTACCATCACCACCACCACCATCTCCACCACAATTTTTACCACTACAATATAATGATTGATAACCAGGCCCCCCCCCCCCCGTTACCATGGAGACAGAGGGGGGGCAATAACTCCCTACACTCAGGTAAGAAAATACTTATTAATTATCGATCCCGTCCACCTATACCAAGTTTCATTGACATTTCATTTCTATGTGTTAAAGTTATTGTGTTTACAAGACGGACGGAGAGACGGACAGACAGATGGACAGACGGACGGACGGATGGACGGACGGATGGACGGAGGGATGCTATTGCCATCACCCCATCTCTTGTGTACGGCGCAATATAACGCTATCTTCACCACCACCACCACCACTAATAACCCCTCCTTCCCTCACCTACACAACAACAACCATCACCCATAACAAACAGCTGCTGCTTCTATACAACACACCACGACGCAGTTACCAGGTGCAGGAGGGAGAGGGAGAAGGGGAGGAGAGGGAAGGGGAGGAAGGGGGGTAAGGGAAGGGAGGGGGAGAAGGGGAGGAAGGGGGGAGGGAGGGAGGGAGGGGTCACACACACACAAGTAGGCCATGTGATCACCAGTGTGAACCTGTGCCTCCCTCCCGCCTGGTGTTCCGATTGTCGTGACCCCCAGGCATAACTTCCACTCATCCTAGCCTCCCCTGTCACGCTCACTACACCACCACCTGCCTCCCTACCTACCGACTACAGCACGGTGTTGAGGAGGAAGGAAGGAAGGAGGGAGGGGGGGAAGATAGATAGAGGAAGGAGTAAAGAGAGAGGTGAAGAGGAGTAGGAAAGATGAAGAGGAAAAACAGATAAATGTAATAAGAGGAGAAGGGGGATAGAACGGGATAAAAGAGATGGTGTTGGAAGCGTGTCAAAAAGTAAGGAAGAGGGAGAGAGAAGATGATGAAGGAAGATAAGGAGAAAGAATGGGAAGACAGCGTAGTGTGGATGGGAAGGGGGTTTGGAAGAGAGAGGGGGCAGGCAGGCAAGGAGGGGAGGGGAGGGAAGATTTAGGTAGGAAACAAGATAGGGAGGAAGAGGAGGAGTTTCTAGCTCTGAAGGATGTGGTTTATTACGTGTGATTATGTGCCAAGACTTATACTGAAGGTGGAGCTTATCGGAAAAAGATACAGTGTGTGTGTGTGTGTGTGTGTGTGTGTGTGTGTGTGTGTGTGTGTGTGTCGGGAAATAAGAGATCTCCTATTGCCATCACCATTCCCATTACTACCACCATTACCAACAGTTTCTCTACCTTCCATTACCAACACTAACAACAACCACCACTACTATCCACGTGTCTACCAATTGACTACTATCCACGTGTCTACCACCATTATCCACGTGTCTACCACACTATTATCCACGTGTCTACCACCATTATCCACTTGTTCACTCACCATTATCCACGTGTCTACTCAATTACTATCCACGTGTCTACCACCATTATCCACGTGTCTACCACCATTATCCACGTGCCCACCATATAACAGTATCCATTAGTCCTAAAATCTTCCCTCCTCCTCCACCTTCCCTTCAGTCTCGGCTCCATATTTTGCCTCGTAACTTCACCGCTAACCTCATCCTCTTCCTGGTCTACTAAATCTTCTCTATGTCTCTATATATATCCTGCCAGGTGAAAACTTCCCCATTCCCTTACGAGGTTTATTTCCTCCCTCTCTCCTTTATACACACACACACACACACACACACACACACACACACACACACACACACACACACACACACACACACACACACACACACACACACACACACAAGGATAAATGTTAAAGAATAAGAAAGAGGAAAGAGGAATTGGGTAAGAAGAGGAGGAGGAGGTGAATCACACGAGAGAGAGAGAGAGAGAGAGAGAGAGAGAGAGAGAGAGAGAGAGAGAGAGAGAGATAAAGGGGTCAAGTTACCATTACATTCCACTCAGGACTGAAACAGCATCCAGGCAGAAGCACCCCCCCTCACCCCACCCCCCCTCCCTACCTCTCCCTCACCCTCCTACCTTCCCTCACTCCCCTACCTCTCCCTCACCCTTCTTACCCTAACAGAGGCTCTTCCGGGTTATAGTGGTAATGTATTTAGCCTCTGAAGTAGTGAAGAAAATTCGAGGGACCCCAGGATGCAAAAACGGCACAGTGGTAGTCCAGATTATAGCACTATAATCATGTTGTATGTATGTATGTATGTATGTATGTACTCGTATAGACAGACAAAGGTGCTTCACAGAACACAGCAAAAACCTACACTACAAGACAGACATATAGACGGTAATTACCAATGACAGACA